AACCTGCCCTCTAAAATTCCTTTGTAACAAAGAGGAAATAAGTTTAGCCCAGCTGCAACTTTATTCCTTTCTTCCATGCCTTAAATAAAGAATCACCTTACAATGAGCTCTTTGCCTCTCCGATTTCTCCAGTCCAAGGTGGTCCAGCAAGCAGGCCCTGGATAAAGGCTTAAAGCATCCTCTGCTATTCCTGGCTCTGACACTGACCTGCTGCAGAGAGGGCAGCTTGGTTGACATCTCCCTGCCTCTCCTTCCCCTCCAGCCCCTGTTTACCCTGGCTATTTAGGCAGCAAGCTCAGGGCAGAGACTGCTCTTGCTGGGCCTGTACAACAGCTGGCAAAACAGACACAGACTACAGGACACAACTGTAATATCACTATATCACCAAAACCCCCAAAGGCTTTGTGTTATTACTCAGCTACAGTTCAGCCACAGAAACTGTTGTTAAGTCTTAACTTTTCTGTGATATGCTGCCACGCATTTTTGAAACAAAAAATTCTCCTTTCACCTTACATCGTGAAGACGTGGCTCAACTTTTACTTCAGCTGCTCCTATGACTGAGTAAAGCAAAAATCTCAGCATAAGGACTCTTCTCTTTTTACCACCCTCCTGACAAGGTCTTGTAGCAGTACAGGTCTATGCATAAAATTAACTTGTTTATATAGAAAAAGTGAAAACCTGATCTGGAGAGACTCACAGTTCAGATGCCAAGAAGCATGTCCATGTAAAGCCACTCTGTACTTCCATAACAGTAACACAATATTCTATTGAACATTTAGTTACTGCTGATTCAATAAAGAAACAGCATATTTTTAACACTGAGAATGTGCTTTAAGAACTCTTCCAGGTCAGCCCCTACCATCCCTAACACAGAGGGACTCAGGTGGATGTGAACCTAGTGATTCCCTCCCCTCTGCCAAAGGAATTAAGTGTACAGATACATCCCTCAAAGCAAACTTCTTTCCTCTCCTGCAAGTGCACAATTGAATTAAGTGCCTTAAACACTTAACTTGGCTTACATCTGTGGCTCCCATTTGGCTGAATCTACCAGAAAGTGAAAACATTAAAGATTGTCAATGTTGTGAATATGCCTCAGCATTAACAGCTAGTGTCTGGGCTTAAGTCCACATCTTCCTTTGACTTCATTAGCAACTTCATTTAATATTGTTTAAGCACGAGCATGGGTCCAGAGATAACCACAGCTGGCAATTTTTAAAAGTATGTAGACAGGATGACAATTTAAAAATTAAATATTTTTTTTAAATATACTACTATTTTTCTTCTCCATGCTGTTAACAGCTAGAGGTTTGCAACCAGTTTCTTATCAATCTTACCTCTTCCCTATTTTGGCAGAAAGAAGTTTTCTAAGCTGGCTGGCTGTTCAAACAGTTTTTTTCACATAGAAGATAAAGCTTGTTCCTTCTGATCCTTGTTGTGACAATTATCTGAAGATATACCCAACAGAAAAAGCATTTTAAAGAATGAGTGTAATTTTCAAGTTAATCACCTTTTTAAAAATGGGAAAGTGGGGGCAGGAGTTAAGTTCCACAGCTATCTCCTTTAGGCTCAAATTTATTGCTATTTACAAAGCATTAACAGATGGCTTATCAAAAGCCACTTAACAGCAGAAATGATAAAACTATTCTGAGATGGATTTTTGTCTTAAACTGTAAATACTCCCTAGACTAGTTTTTAACTTATGCCAGCCTCCCAGGGACCATCAGTTTAAGATCTAATGTGAGAACCATGCATGTTATTTCATTAAGTATATTAACCATAAACGGTTCCAGCCTTTGCTTTCTCAACTGCAAACAGTATTGCACGAAAAGCTCTCAAAAGTAAAAACTAGTGTTCACCTGCAACATTAGCCAGAACATGCAACAGAAGCTTCAGCTCCTGAATGAGTCAAAGCCAAGTTTGACAAACTCAGGAGTTACTCCATATTGCTAAGAATGCACAGTTATCAAGAAGGTCCAGCTATCCAACATCATCACCATTCCATTTTCACAGTAATATTTTAGTTTAAATACCTACTCAGCTCAAATTTTACCTTCAACAAGCAATCTACCAGGTCTCTACTTAAAATTGCTATTAAGAAGGATGGTGCACCCAGAAACTTGCTTAAACTCTCTCCCCAACTTGTACTGATTAGTCAAATAAAATACAGTATCTCCCTGCAAATCTTACTCCCTCAATTGCAAGAGCAGCATCGTGGGAGATTGCTCTTGATCTTGGAGACACGAGGAGCAAGTGCTACAGAAGAGACACAGCTAGTTAAAACCCTTCAGCTGCCACAGAGACTACTGAACTTCTTCAGCTAAGTACAGATTTTACAGCTGTATAACCCAACACATGCAGCCATACTGGTTCTTCTGCAGATGTTCAGACATCCAGACCTCCTGGCTCTTGCCTTGTATCTGTTGCCAAACTCTACCCTACTGGAGTAAAACTCCTGCAACTCCCCCAGATGCTGGATCTCCACCCAGAGATCCAAAACAAGTGTTTGTTTTTCAGGTATTCTCCATAGGATTTGGTACACTATTTCAAGGAACTGGAGACTGTCTGAGCCTTCTATGAAGTTAAAAGTAATTAAAGGAATCATCCTCCAGATATATCTCAAGGTTTCTTCACAACCACTTGCAATGTAACTTAGTGTGTTACCTATGATTGAACTCCCCAGGACCAAGGAAGTGCTGACCAATGCTAAAAGCAGCTCTCAGTACTGGAGTTGTTTGAGGAAAACTTGAAAATAGGACACAGTACAAAAGTACATCCTAGAATTAAAAAAAAAAAAAAAAAACCACAAAAAAACTGTTCACAGCAAATCTAACAGCACTGAAATCCCTGTGAGTTCATGATACTCAAGCAGCCTTCCCTTCTCTGAAACCCTCTGACCTAGCAAATCTCTTCTGTAGCTGTTTATAGACCTGCATTCCTCTGCAGGGGGAAGTGGTGGTCCTTACACACACTGCACCTGCTCTGCTGTACACCTGATCCCTCCTGCAACTGAAGGAGCAGAGTATCACCTTATTCTTAATGAAAAATACAGAACTTCATTTCCTCAGGAGACAAAATCATATATCACAGTAGACAAGAGTCCAAAGCACAGCCATTCCACAGTGCTTATTCCTCCTGACTTCCAAGGGAACTCTGCTTAACTTCCAACCTGTGAACACTGAGTGGGTTGAAGTGCTGGCCTGAAAACCCAACACAAGGATTTTCAGCACCAGCAAAGTTCTGCTCCTGCCAGCAGAAGCCATAATTGCTTCTCTAAAGTCTATGCATTGATGAGACAGCAACATCAGACAGCAAAACAAGGGTCAAAACTCGCCATCCCTTCTTTTGAGTCATGTCAGCACAGTGTTTATGGAAAAAATACTGAGTCACTGAATGACAAACAAGATCCATGCTGGTAGCTAAAGAGAAGCCATAGGAAGGGATTCGTAGATCCTAACTACACAAACTTCTCTTGGGATCCTTAAATGAGGAAGGAAGGCCCACTTCGTGAAGTTGCCTCCAAGAGGCATTTGGCACACAGCCAAATTTGAGAGAGAAAAGGCAAACTCTGGATCATCACTAACCACTGCCAAGGCCCAAAGGCACTTCACCTCAGATGCTCTTGTCATACACACTGCAAAGCCTAGAGGGCTTGACCCTATTCCTAACCTGTGCAGTGCTGTTGAACTGGGGGAAAAATAAAGACCCCAGGAGAAAAAAAGCTCAAATAATTCCAACTCACAAAACTTTAAAACCCAGAAGGTATGAAAAGTCCAGGAGTCACTTTCTCTGTGCCAGCCATCACCATTTATACCTCAGAGCAAGCTGCTCTGAGAGAAGCTAAGATATATGTTCCTGGGGGCCCACAAAAGCTCTTTCACCTAAAAATACACTAAGCCCACTCTCCAGCCCTTTTCCCACGATGCTGTCCCAGGCCTTGCTCCCTTGCAGCTTCTTCTCTGAGGTGCTTTTAAGACCATGGCAGGGATCACTGCTCAGAAATGGGGAGAGCATGTGTGGCTTACAGGATCCATTCCAGCTGCACACAGCAGCTCCGTCCGTCTCCTTGTGCTCCAACCTCCCCTAATTCCCCTAGCTTGAAGCCCCCAAGCCTCAGTGTTTGGAAGGGTCTGGAGACTGAGAAGACCACAAAGTCAAAGAGTTATTAGGGTTGGAAAAGACCTCTAAATATAATCTAGCCCAACCTCCCTGCCAAGGCAGGGGGACCTAGAGCAGGTTACAGAGCCATGAGTCCACGTGGGATTTGAATGTCTCCAGAGGCAGACTCCATGCCCTCCCTCAGCAGCCCATTCCAGTGCTTAGCCACCCTCAGCATAACGCTCTTCCTCATGCAGAGGTGAAACTTCGTTTGTTTTAGTTTACGGGCGTTGCTATTCATCCTGTTGCTGGCATCTGCCTTTGAGATACTTAAATGCATTGATGAGATCCTTCTCAGTCATCTCGGGACTGAACAGGCCTGGCTTCCACAGGGAAGATGTTCCAGACCTCTTATCATTCTTCCTGGTCTCTGCTGGACCCTCACCCATAGCTCCCTGTCTTTCTTGTATCGAGGAGTCCAGAACTGGACACAGTTCTCCAGATGTGGAGAGGGCCTCACGCTCCAGCCCTCCCGCTGGGCCTGCCATTGAGGCATCCCGCGAAATCCCCGCCATCCTCCCCGCTCCCTCGTGGGGACAAGAGGCGCCTCCCCCAACCCCTCGGGGCAGCGCCGGGGCTGGGCCCCGCCACCCCGGTGTGCGCCATCGGCCGCTCCCTCCCAGGGAGGCCCTTCCCGTGCCCTCGCCGCCCCTCGTGGCGCAGGGAAAGGGCGGCGCAACCGCGCTTGGGGAATGGCCCCGCGTCCCCCGCCCCTCGCGGCCCAGCGGCGGCCACGCCAGGAGCGCAGCGCGGCCCTGGCAACCGGCTGGGCCGCGGCATCCCCGGCCTTTCCGGGCCGCCGCCGCCGCCGCCCCCCGCCCTTCCGCCGGGAAGGCCGCGCTTACAGATCGGTGCCGAGCTGGGTGAAGCCGGAGTTGAGGCAGCCGCGGGCTATGCGCTTCCAGAGGACATCGCGGCTGCTGAGGAAGCGCAGGCGGCGGCAGACCTGGGCCAGGCGGCCCAAGGCCTGCGCGTCCAGGTAGGAGCAGATGAGGAGCAGCAGCTCCTCAGGTAAGGCCCAGAGCGGGGAGGGGGGGGAGGCGGCCCGGGATCCCCCCTCCGCCTGGGGGGATCGGGGGCTGCCCTTCCTCCCCATGGAGCAGCAGCTCCCGCCCCTCCTCCCCGGGAGCCGGAGCTGCTGCTGCCCGGGGGAGGCCAAGCCATGGACGGGGCAGCCGCTCCCCAGTCACATGGGGCAGAAGCCGCTGCCTGTCACTGCCCCCTCCGGGGGAGGAGGCGGCTGCCGGGACCGGAGGGGGCACAGGCCGCCGAGCCCACCCTCGTTAGCGGATTAATTCATTAACGGGAGCCGCTGGGACTCCCCCTGGGCCACTTGCCCTCCCCCACACCCCCTCGCCATGCCACGACCGGCTCACGGGTCTGTATCTTCCGTTCTGGGCTTAGCAACGTCACCTGATCCGAGCATTCCTTCATAACGTGAACAATTAATGGTGGAGATGGTGATCCCAGGTAACTAGAACATCTGCCTCACCACCTGGAGCAACACGAGCTAGGTACTGCACTCCTGCAAAGGAAGGTGAACAGCAAGGTGATTTAATGCTCATTAATTATCCTTGACCAGGGTCAGAAGCGCCTGTCACCCACAGAGTGACAGCAGGGGTCATCTGGTGCTGCACAGCAGTTTTCAACACTCCCAGATTCCTGTGACACATAAAAGAAAGGGTCTTCCCCACATAAGAGTAGGCCTTGCTACAGTGGATTTGGGGCTGGCTTTTTACCAGCACCCTTCCTTGCAGACCATTCCCCCCTCCAGAGCTCTGCAGAGCGGCTGGGGTCTGAAAAGTGCTCACAGCTCACACGTGTGTGTACACATACACAAGCACACCACCTCAAAAGAACAGTTCATAATAACTGAGTCATTGTTGCCATCCACAGGAGCCTGGAGTACTGACAACGCAGGATTCTGGTCCAAAATGGCAAAGTAGCTCTCCACAGACAGTGGAGCAGGAAAATAGGAGTCTAGTGTTGTGTTATTCTTTCTTACAGTACTTTCCACTCTACATAAGCCTGAAATGCTGGGGAAATTGCTCCCTCAGAATAAAAAAAAGTAGATAAATTCTAAGAAGTTCATCATCTGCCTAGAATACTTTGAACAGGTATCACTTAGCCACCACAATCAATATCTCATTTCACAGGGTGGAGTAGGATAATAAATTTTAGCATATAATGAGGTTACCATAGTATACAGGCCACTTGTCAGTACTTGTATCCTATTCCAGAAAGTCATCTTGTCTGTCTAATCTGAAGCTCCCAAATATTGCTATGAATAAATCAGCAGGTCTGGAAGCCTCGTATTTTAGAAGTTCAAAACTGCTGGATAAGGAGGTCTCTGGTCCATTTACACTGAGTTTTAATATACTCTGGAAGTCAAGGAAATTTCAGAAGGCAGCAGATTTTTTATCAGCATTTTCAAGGAGTGATGTCTGAAGTAATTAAAAATTTCTCAACCTGAGTTTGAGCTCAGGTGAAATTAACAGCACATCTAGTACAGGACTTAAGTAGCCAGCTGAAAGGGAGGTAATACAATAAATTTTGCTTAAGATTATGGAAATTTTGTGTGAGTGCAGTTTTATGTCAATTTCATACCTTTCTGATGATACAAAACTTGTTCTTTTTGTAACAGACTACAATATTTTCTGAAACATTAAAATTATTAAAAGCTGAGTGACTTCTCTGTCTGAAATTGTTATTGTAAAGACATACTTATTACCAAGTTGGTCTTTCTCTAGTAGGATCCCACAGAGACTGCTTGTGCACCCCACACTATTTAAGATATTTACTAACAATCTGAAAATAATCTGAAATCCTTCTTATCAAAACTTGGTAGGAGGCACAAAGCATGGAACAAGAGGTAAAGGATGTTTATGGCTGCATAGCCCTAAGTTAAGGCATAATCACATCATATGTATTTCAATCAAGCCAAATGTAAAGTCTCACATCTAGGAACAAAGAATGTAGGTCACACTGAAAGGATGTAACTCTATCCTGCAAAGCTGCAATTCCGTAAAGACTTCATTAAGATGAATAATCAGCTGAACGTGAGCTCCTTCTGCTGTGCTGTGACCAAAGGGCTAGTGCTGTCCTGGGAACAAACAAGAGCTCAGAGTTCTTTTACCTCTGGTTTTGACTCTGTTGTGACTGTTTTGGAAATAATTTGTCCAGACAACACTTCAAGAAGGATGTTTAGAGGGGTTTCAAAGAAGAGTAGTAAAGAATGATTACAGGACTGTCAAACATGTTTTGTAGTAAGACGCAAAGAGCTCAATCTTTTTTAGCTTTCTAAAGAGAAGGTTAAAGTGTGAGGTGATCATACCTTATGAGCACTGAAACAGGAAGAAAAATCTGGATCTTCCGTTTAACAGACAAAGAGATAAGATCTCCTGACAGAAGGTGATGGGAAACAAATTCGTGAATGAAGTGTGCTTTTGTAGTGAATAAAATCAACTGTTGAAACAGCTTACCAAGATTAATGGTAGATTCACCATTACTGGATTTATAAAAAACAATACCAGTTGGGTTTGGTTTCGAGTTTTTATCCTGAGAGAGAGAGAGAGAGAGTCTTGACCACAGCTGCTAAAACTTCACCAGGAATTGACCTGGATAGTCCTAACTCAGGATATCAGACCAAGCCAGCCCAAGGGGTCTCTTCTAGTCTAAGGCTCTCTTACTCTACAGAGGCAGCATGTGCATAGTGCGTGTCTCCTGCACTGTGTGGCACCCAAATTCCAGTGGACAATCTCCAGCCTCTGGCTGTGCTGCTTTACCAGGGAAAACTACTTGGTGCAGACCAGAAGGAGCCTGTGTGCAAAGTACACGGGCAGTATGACCCTCTGGGATACTGGGTCCAAGGTATGGACAAGTGCAAGTGAAGAAGGGGGGCCTTGGTGCCTTCCAGTTTGTAACTCAAGGTAGAAACAAATGTGAAATATTTGGTTAAGATGAAAGGTGTTTACACCCAGTAATCTTGGAGAAGGTCAACTATGCTCCAAGCAGGGGACACAGAGCAGTATAAAGAAAAAAATTACAATACATTCCTCTTAAATACAGCATTGTTTTCAAGTATGGACAATTGTCTTACAACATAGTAACAATAGTTATTTTTTGCCCAAAATGTAGATGTCATCCATTACTTTCTTTGGGTTCTTTTTTCAAATAAATACACCAGCAACTGCTTACCCTTGTACACACTTTCTCAGGCACGGTTTTGGGTACTGCTGTTGCAGAGCTGTCACAAAGCTGTGCATTGCAGACTGAGAACCCCATAGCCTTACTCTTTGCATTAATGCCAAAGTGCTTATGTAGGTGTCTGCAGGAGCAAGAACTGAGGAAGGTTCTGAACCATTCCTAAAACTGTATCTGTAGCATGATTATTTTGCACTGCATTGTTCACACTCTAATAAAGGACTTGAAGCAGGTGCTCCGTGCAGTGTAAGCATAATAATGTATCATTCCCAAATCTTACAAAGATCCCAGTCCTTTTCATGGCTCATGACCAGTCTGAACCTCTAGAAGAGGGGCTAGGGTTCTGTGCTGAAGTAGCAGACCATTCCAGTATCACAGCTTGTAAACTAAGAATCAGGGGGCTTATGCCTGCAAAGCCTTAACAGCATAAGTCAATGAAATCCAGCTTGGAGAAACACCATTTGAATACCTGCCTGTCAATTTTTTTTTTTTCTGTCTTCAAGGGGTTTTATTATTTGCAGTGCCCTCAAATACACCTTTCCACCTAAAGACACATTCATGTGGACAGCTCTTTGTTTTGTTTTTCCTTCCAACCAATGCTTTTGTGTATTTCTGAAACTTAAGACACCTCTTCTGCTACTACAGTACTTATCTGTAACACCATCGCTTTGAGGGATTAAAGCAGGTTACTTGTTACACACTTAGATCAAGAGTTATCTGAGTAGAAAGTCTATCCCGTTAGGGTTGGCGGAATCTGTTTTTGATCTTGAGTTGTTTTGATTTTCTCTAAGAGCAAGTAACATGTTATTTTAACTTCTGAATAAGGTGTGCTACCTGACTGTGTCTCTTCTGTTTGGCAGAAAGGATTAGAAACCTCCACAGAACTTGCACTCTATTAAAGCAGAGTGCTCACCATTGAGAACGAAGGAGCTGAATTGTTTTCAGATTATATGTGTGTGTGTGTCTTTCCCACATCAAAGACTTTGATGGAAGCTGTTCACGCTATTGTCAGGAATGCAGGGATTGGCACAAAGGTGATTAGCAAAATTGCTTTTCTGTAGGAGAAGCACAAAAATTATCAAAGGATTAAAGAGGATAAAATTAAAAGGTTATGCTGAATTTGAGGGCAAATTTTCTGCTTTTAAATTTTCTCCCAAATTATACGTATTGATTTGGTTTTACCTACAAAATATTTGCCAGAAGAAACCAGGATTAGAAGCTGTTTCATATAGGTTCTGTTAAAGGGAGATGAAAAAATCTTCCCTGAAAAATATTCTCAACAGACCCTATTCCAAAACCCATCCACAAGAAGCTTTTGATGAATACTGTGGGCACACAGCTAGCAGCCATCCTTAAAATGTTCTTTACAGCCACAAGATTGAGACCTTTAGTCATGATTATGCTGAAAATTATGATAACAAACAATTCCATAAATCAGTTTGTCATCAATGATGTTTGTTTACTTTTCTCACTACACTCTGCTGACAAAGATACTAAACTGAGGAGATCACTTTCATTATCCACTTGCTAGGCACATGCAATGCTCTTGTATTTTGATCAAGCAGCTGAGCTGCTTGAATGGTTTGGGAAAAAAGGCAATAAAAAGGGATTCTCAAATATTTTAGTGTATCAAAATGAACAGAGCCTTCCAGAATCTTTCTTGCTTGGCAAAACTGCAGTGCAATAAAAAAAATATATCACCTCCCATAGCCAGCAGTAGTGTCTCATCTTACTGGATCAGACTCTGTTTATTGTGCATTTTATTTTGAACAGTCCTCTATTATTTGCTAAGTACAAGCCATATACCTATTTCTTGTCTTTGCATTTGGAGTTTTGTTTGTTTGTTTTACTAATCTTTTCTTCTCAGGAAGTCACCCGGAATATTTTATTTGTTTTAAACCTCATTTATCAAAGTATTATCTAAAGCATCGGTTCAGAAAATGTTCATTTTAACTGTTTTCCCAACAATGACCTTCTTCCTCCCCCCCAGGCCACATCAAGTTGTCATTCACCAGACAGCTGTGGAATTTGGAATCATTCCTTTTAAACGCTTTACAATTCCAAATGGTAGATTTCTAATGGCACAATATGATTGCCACAAAGATCTTTAAATTTCCCAATCCTCCAGGCTTCAAAGGCTGGACCGTCCTTGATCTCCTGAAGGAATGCTTTTGAATCTTGTTCTTTTATAGGGGCTACCTATGAAGATATTTTAGGGGCTTTTTCCTTTCGTACTTAAAACCTGAGGAACTAAACATTCAAATACCGCTGGCATTTTTGGGAGTGAGATCAAGACATACAAAGTTGTTTCTAGGGATTCTCAGCTCAGTTTTTATTAATTCCTCAGATAGTTCCAAAACTTTTTGGAGCATTTATAAAGCAATATAAATCTTTGGTGTAGCAGTGACTGTGATACTGTTTTATCCTACATTTTCCTTCCACCTACATGGCTACATTGTGCAGTTTCTCACCTGCCTTGAGCAAGTCTGACAGTGCCCTGACTCATCCTGTGTCCATGGGTACAGAGGGGTTCATTGCTCTTGGAGGATTCACTGCTGTCATATCACTTACAAGGTAATAATTTGTTTAAGAAAGGTGAGCAAACCTAATCCTACAAATGGTTTTGGTCTGCCTTGACCAGGCAACCAAGACAGAGCCTAATTACCTGCAACAACTACAAATAAGCAAAATTATTAGAGTCCTAGGCTTACTTCTCTCTTTTTCTACAGTCAGAGGAAACATTTCACTATTTGTCCTTTCTTTCACAGTAGGATTTCTCAATCTGGAAGCTGACATTTTTTTATTTCTTGCTGGTTAATTCTATTTCTTACTACTGAAACGCAAAATTCATTAATTTGAAGTTAAGAGACTTACAGTGCAGCAACAGGAATCTGGCTGGTGCTAGAAACAGCCTTTCTTTCTATTCAGTTCAGCTTATGCCAACCCATAAGGCAGGTTTTACCCTCTCTCCTCTTACAAATGAAGCGCGCATAGATATATAAAATATCAAGGACAGTATCCCGCTGTCCACACACAGTAGGTCCTAGTCCTGCAGCAGAGCACCTTCTGCACAGTCCTACCACACAAATTCATGATAGATTTGGGGTCTTCAGCTAGTACCCACCTTGGGGAAAGCACTGTCCTTTCTGTGCCCCTACAGTACCTCACGACATGACCTCTGCTGTGACTGAGCCTCTCAGGTATTGTTAGAAGGAGCAATTAATGCTTTGTCACTGCAGTAAGTGTATGTTTAGATACCCTGTGTTGGTAGTGCACGTGATTTTTAAATAGTCTGCAGCCTAACCTCGGGTTTTGTGACGACAATAACAAACTGCAGGAACCAC